GAATAATTATTTCTTAAAAACAGACCGGTATCTTTATTGATGATATGTGACTTATCCCCTTTTGACCGGGATAAAAGTCATATCAAAATGTTTGTTGTATTCATATCTATCAGACAACAGAAGATGTTCCTGGTCAATAGGGGATGGGTACCTAAAAAAAGGCCCCGTTATCCCATATATGCATGCGTATGGAATAATTATATTTGAAAGAGAGACATGTATTTTTTTTTGCTAAGATATGTGACTTATCCCCTTTTGACCGGGATAAAAGTCATATCAAAATGTTTCTTGTTTTCATATCTATCAGACAACAGATGATGGTCCCGGTCAATAGGGGATGGGTACCTAAAAAAGGCCCACATATCCGATATGTGAATGTGTATGGAATAATTATATTTTAAAGACAGACCGGTATCTTTATTGATAAGATTTGTGAATTATCCCCTTTTGACCGGGATAAAAGTCATATAAAAATGTTCGTGGTATTCATATCTATCAGACAACAGATGATGGTCCCGGTCAATAGGGGATGGGTACCTAAAAAAGGCCCATATATCCGATATGTGCATGTGTATGGAATAATTATTTCTTAAAGACAGACCGGTATCTTTATTGATGATATGCGACTTATCCCCTTTTGACCGGGATAAAAGTCATATCAAAATGTTTGTTGTATTCATATCTATCAGACAACAGAAGATGTTCCTGGTCAATAGGGGATGGGTACCTAAAAAAAGGCCCCGTTATCCCATATATGCATGCGTATGGAATAATTATATTTTAAAGAGAGACATGTATTTTTTTTGCTAAGATATGTGACTTATCCCCTTTTGACCGGGATAAAAGTCATATAAAAATGTATGTTGTATTCATATCTATCAGACAACAGATGATGGTCCCGGTCAATAGGGGTTGGGTACCTAAAACAAGCTTATATCAGATATGTTTATGTGTATTGAATTGAGATATTTTGAATATCCGAAAATCCGAATATCAAACTGGCTTTATATTCGCATTTTGAATATCGAATATCGAATATCGAATATCTTTCTAACTTCACTCCGGTCAGCCGTTGGGCGGACCGAAACGACGTTGTACCTTCCAAACCGCGGAGATAGCGCGGTCTAGCGCGCGCTATCTGTGCCGGTGTGAACAGCCTCTATGTCCTCCTCAACCTACACACATCCCACACAGAGCGCGGTGTCTCCACTCATCGCTCGATCCCCCGAAACAATCGTCGAAAAGAACGTCTAAACTCTAGACGCTTTTGCCAGTGTGCGGGGTCAAAAGTTCGCGCTAATGTATTCTGACGTAAGGCATTCGCTTATGCCCTAATGAATATGCATCAGTAACATCGTCGAGCTGTGTGTGTACTTTGTGTGTGTACGTCAAATCGGCAACAATTAGGTATGCCCTGCCTGAAACAGGTTCTAGGAAACCATTACTATCCCCTGGGCAATCACCCCCCCCCCTGGCCGATTACCAGCGGGACTATTACCCCCCAAGGAATATTACCCCCGAGGACAATTACCCCCCGGAAAATCATTCCCTAGGACAATACCCCCCCCCCCCTCCTGTACAATTACCTCCAAAGGACAATTAGCCCTTGTGAAAAGTGGAAGAGAGAAATACATTAGAACATTTCAAATGAGATCTCCTTCACAAATGCCTACGACAAGCTGCTAAATGACCAGACCACAATGAAGTGAAGGTGGAAGAGACGTTGTAGACCCGTCTTATAAAGAGTTGCGATTGATCCAAATCAATCGCAAGTTTGCAGTACTACCCTGTCTCTTATGTACATAGTTGCTAAGGATATTAACTCTTTATAAGACAGGGTTCAGGTAGCAGTAGCAAATATGTTATTTCGTAATGAAAAATACACCCACCAGACAAGATGTTTGCAAGCAAGCTAGCCGCATACTCGGATATTGTGTAATTCTGCTTCCTGGATATGAGGTGACGGGCCGGATGCCTATTAGATGCGTTCAAAAAAATGAGGGGAGCTTGACACCATCCCACCGCATCTTACGGTTATGGGTGAGGGGATGCGAGTGCATGTTCTGATTCCAACTTTCAAGTATATAGTTTTTAGAGAGTGATACCAGTCTATCATTTGAATCCAGGTCTGTTATTATCTTACACATAGCTGGTTAATTGATTGCGCCAAAATACCTATCTCTACATATTTAAAGAATTATGAAAACTGCTGACTTGGAACTTTCTTTAAAAAATGTCCATACATATGGTTTATATTATATCTAAATTTGAAGTTTATTTCTTTTCTAACACAAAAAGTTATAGCGCTCTAAAGTTGACACTTTGATATGAGCTAAAATGACAATTTTAGTTACTAAGGGCTTTTATCTCCTTTCAGCTACGGTAACATAGTGAGATGAAAAATAGAATATATCGCGCGTAGATGCTATCATCAAGCAGATAGCATTTTTGATAGGTAGTGTGATGTCAGATGATGCAGTTTCATCATATTTTAAAGATATCTCTCCCTTAATCCTTTATGCATGGGTGTTTTTTGAATATTTTATTACTATTGCATGTTGATAGATTTCATTCAAATTTCATCTATGCTCGTTTCTTTCTTTATAATTATTTGTACAGGGCCCCTCCTGGTAAGTATTGCTTTCTTAGTGGTCCTTCCAATGTATATTTTTGTTAGTATTCATTATGTAAATATTGTGTTTTTATTGGAAGAAAAAAATATGAAAATGAAAAAAATATATATATATTGAATAAGGCACCGTTATTATTGGGGGCAGAGACCGGTTGTGCTCCCCCCAATCTGCCAGTGTGATAATGATAATGATGTTATTCGGGAAATTGACAATTATAAAAATATATGCACTTGCAGGCACATATTTTTATAATTGTCAATTTCCCGAATAACATGACGGCATGTGATTGCGCAACCGTTCACATTGTCATCGCGTGAGAATTATGGCATTGCGAAATACATGCTCATGTATCAGAATGAGTCACTTGCGATTATACAGGGCGTTTCAATAAAAAGTTGACCCAACTGTGGTAGCTCCTATTTGAAAAGTCATAACCAATATGACTTTGGAATTGCTTTCTTGATGAAGAGTAACTAATTTTCTTTCCAATGATACCCTATTCATAATAATTTCTGCCACGGGTGAATGAGCACTAGGGTCTTTAACAAATGTTGTCAAAATCGCCTTGTTCCAAGTTTTGGCTTTAGGGGTAATATTGGTCAGGCCATATGCATGCGCTTCTTTGGTCTTAAATTATTTTAAAAGTTAAATTGTGCCTTGTGCTTCATTGTTTAAAATGAGGCAATGTACTAGGTTTTCACAGAACCTTGTTGGAATCGACAGGATAACCTTTAATTATTTTAAACAGCCTATATAATAACTTCTCGTCTCATGATATATCCAAGTTCTCTCTGCTCACCTGTCCACTGCGCCATTTCACACGCGTAAGGAGCATAATGTGTTTATGATATGATATGATATGATATGATATCTTTATTTATACACGGTTAAAAAAGCCCAAACAGTTACAAGACTGATTTCCATTGGGGCCGTGTGACACAATGTAAATACATCGAATTAACATAAAAATGATAATGGTACATCAATGACATATTTAAAACAAACAATAAATAATCAAGATAAATATCTAACAATATAACGATAGAATAGTACTGCCGAAAAAGTATATGTATATTGATAACAATAATCATGAGTGTCCAAACAAGAGTACTGTAAATATAATTCAAATTAAAATAGGTAATACAAATTTATCTCGAATAACAATCGAAAACTCAAAGGTTACTGGACCCAAATGCAAGAAAGAAGATTTATGATGATAAATATCAAAGAAATTGACAACAGACTTTTATTTTTTAAAAGGTAACATCCCTGATAAACTGTTATCCATTTTGTATCACTCAATGAGAAGCTTACGAATAAAGGAATAAAGGAACATTTGTTTTGGAATGAGATAACATACATAATGGATTTTGACCCACAATCATTGCTTCAGCCCAAATTAGGTACAAGAGGATTTTGACAATACTTTTGGAAAAGCCTGCTGTCCGGTCACTCTTGGCAGCCCAATTATGAAAATGGTATAATTAGACATGGGATTAGTTCTTCTTTACAACAAATTGAAGGTGACACAGGTTATAACTTTTTAATAAGAAGCTACCAATATTGGCTAACATTTTTTTTGATACACTCTGTATTACCGGAAGTTCATTGTATTGCTAAATGTACATGGTTATATGTTCACGGTCACATTAAATAAAGTCGTCTGTTTAGAGCCAGAAGGGCATTAATTCTTTTTTTTTTTCGGGGAGAGGGGATGGGTACAGAGATAGATACTGGTATCATCTCGTAGATCTTATTCTGCTCTTTCTAACGCATTAGATAAAACTCTATGTAGTTTTTTGATTAATTGCAATGTTTTCCAATCTACAATCAAATGTTAGGCTACCCGGTCCGACAAAACAAACCGAATCGAAATTAGTTGCCGAGTAGGGGAGCATTTTATATATTTTTTAAAGATGATATTTAAAAAAAAGTGAACGAAATTGGTTGCCGAGTAGTGGAGCATTTTTTGTTTTAAAGGTGAACTACATTGATTGGAAGAAAAAAAACATTACTTCATTTCCTCATCGACAGTTGGAATATTTACACGAAACTTTAAAAAAAATTGTAATAAAGGCCTATGTGTGAAAAAAATATTTTAGACAGTAAGAATCGCACCCAGGAACTATCTCCATAACGTACTTATGGTTAGTCCACATGTCTTGTAGGAGTGCTTTTGAGAGTCAATTAAGCGTTAAGTCAATTATTATTAACAAACATGTTATATTTTGTTTATGTACAAAAGTTAAAAACAGCACTTAGTTGTAGCACTGGCAGCAAGTGGCCCGGAGCAATATTCGCATGTACCTTACAATCCCAAAGGCATATTACAGTCTCATAAATTATTGAAAGTAAAATAAAGCTTACCATTTTGTTTGAAGAAATGAACGCTTGTGAAGAATATTGCACATTTATCGATCAAACTGGTTCATCTGTCCCGATTTTACGGCCTGAGATCGATTCCGAGAGTCCCAACATTCCAACAGGAAGTTTTTTTTTATTCTTCGTTGGGCAAACATATAAGCGCGGTGCAGGTGGTAATCATGACCATTAAATTAAAAGCATCCATGGTTACTTTGAAGAACTCATCGAGTCATTACAAGAAACTAAATGACTACATAACGGTAATGCGCGGGCTGTGATATCGTCCCGTCTTTTCGTATTGGGGGTCTCGGGAATCTCTCAAAAAGTCCATGTAAGACTAGATCACCGAATTAAATGTCCGAGTTCGCCGGATAAGGCATAGCACATGCGCAGATACATGCAATAACATGCAGTGCATGCATGCATATAAAATTATAGAGACAGCCCCGGTCCTATTTCATATTCAAAACTTCATTCGATTACAATTTATTTAATCGAAATAATATATACTTTTCCGAACAGTATGACAAACATAATATATAATACCTAAAGCCTTGAGCAGAGCCTAGATCTGTCAGTTTGTGGCTGTGTCAGGAGCGGCTAAAGTCTTAGCGTACTTGTATTCTCATATTTCAGACTCTGTTACGCACAATGACTGAAAAGGGTTTGTTCCTGAAACAAGGGGAATTGGTTAGGGGAGGGGGTGATGTGACAACTGTCGGCCTGTGTTTAAAGCATGGGAAGTGAAGTGTGCTGGAGCAAGGTTGGATGGTTCTGTAATTTCAGCCGTGCTCCCTACATGCATTCCCTTCACTTACCCCGCCCCCGGCTTTACAAAGGCCTGTACATCAACAGGATTTTGTTGTTGTATTCATTTGTCTTTTCTTCCTCACTTTTTTGTTTAGATTAAAGAATAGTCCAGCCAGCAAAACTCCTATATGTTATATCCTTGTTATAATATATTACTTCCTTCCCCCTCCCAATCACCCCCCAAAGCCTTTCATCGCTAAAGCTCACACAAAACTCTGACAGAGGCGGTTGACAAGCAAAGGGAGCCCTTTCTTGGACTTGTGCCCCCTTCCTAAATCGACCAGATTTTCCGACGACCTGTCTGGTATAGGGCAAATAGATGCGAATCAGGCCCGGACCGGACTATACGGTGCATATAATTGCTATATCATGCGATTGAGGTATAAGTTAATAGTAGTTGGTAGTGCGGGGAATGGGAAGCGTTTAACTTTTTGATGTAAAAAGTGCCTTTACCGAAATTCCTCAAAGTTTTTCAAAGAACACGAAAACAACATGTTTGCATAATTATTGGGCCTACCTACGTAAGGACTTGGCACACCTACTACTGAAAGTACAGTGCGCATGTCTCTTCCTCTTCCTCTACTTTTTATCAATTATCCTTGTTACTTTGATAACAAAAAGCATGATGCAAATCATTTTAGCATATCTCTATCTTTTATAATAAAAGGTTCAGTGGCGTAATGAGAAAAAACGTTTGGGGTGGCTGACAAAAAAATTCGCATCACCCCGCTCTTACATGCAGGCCCCGCTGAACGTTTTTCAAAGTGGGGTCTAGGGGCAAAGCCCTGGCGGGGGTCAAGGGGTGGAGCCCCCGAAGTTCAAGGGGTATGGGCATCAGTGGCGGATCCAGGAATTTCTTACCGGGGGGGGGGGCACAACATGGCATGGGGGTGAAATATATGTAAAATGATGAAGCGACAGAGCGAGGCTTCAGCGGCGAGGGAGCGGAACGACCAAGCGGGGGTGGGTATGGTAGAGGGTTCTGACCCCCTCCCAGAGTAGGAAGCATTTGCAATTTTAGAACCACATTAGACGCATTTGCAAACACTTCCTGGAGTAATATGACGTAAAATTGCTTTCTCCTACCCCCTCCAAGAGTAGGGATCTTTTGCCATTTGAGAATCGCATTTGGCGCATTATTGTCCACCGGCACTTCCCGGAAAAAAAATGAGGCCTTCTGATTGGTTAGAAGTTAGAGAAAGTGATATGTCACGTCGTGAGACGTTGTATATGCTTCGTTGCTGCATAATGCACAAAGACAGTGGTCCGGTACTTCACCATTACTTGCAAAAACTATCTTGAGTGTATAAACTGTGTTGTTATCAAGGGCGTCGTCAGACCTTTTTCAGTGGGCGAGGGGTGGGGTGTAGAAACCATCGGTTACCAACAAAACTAGCCACCAATTAATTACCGACAAATATATTTATGCAAATGTCCATTATGTCTACAAATTTAACCCTTTAAACCCGGGCCAGTAACTAGGTTATTATTTTGTTTTCCCCCTCCCGCGCGAAGCGCGGAACATTTGACACCTCATTAAATTATTAGAGAAAGAAGACGCTCCGTTGTAACGTTTTCGACTTGTAATCCTTGTCTGAATTCAGTTCTCCCCCCCTCCCGCGTGAAGCGCGGAAGCTTTGACGTTTCAATAAATTATTACTCTTAATCCGTGTCTGAATTCATTTTCGCCCATCCCGCGCGAAAGCTTTCACGTTTCATTAAATCAATAGAGAAAGAAGGCGATTCGTTGTATCGTGTCCTTGTCTGAATTCAGTTTCCCCCAAGCTTTGACGTTTCATTAAATTATTACTCTTAATCCGTGTCTGAATTCATTTTCGCCCATCCCTTTCCAGTTTCATTAAATAATTAGAGAAAGAAGACGATTCGTTGTATCGTGTCCTTGTCTGAATTCAGTTGCCCCCCCCCCCCTCCCGCGCGAAGCGCTGAAGCTTTGTTGTTTCATTGGCATTAAATTATTAGATAAAGAAGACGATTTGTTGTACCGTTCTCTACTTCTAATCCTATTAGATCTACCTCCATATATGTGGATCTTTGTTAATATTCCATGTTAAAGTATGTTTCAATCTATTAAAATATATAATTAGTTCACCGAACTTGCTAGTTTGCTAGTGAGAGGATTGTTCAAGAATGGAGGATGGAGGACTGACTTAGCTATATGTATATAGCGACTGTGAATCAAAATTTTGATCAAAAAACTGGATTCAGTCGTTCAAAGTAGCTGCATGGACGAACAAAATATAACTTTAATCCGTGACAATATTGGAAATAGTCTCCATAAAGATTACAGTGTAATTGAATCTAGAGGCTGTCGCATGCCTACTGTCGTGGGGGAGGTAAAGGGGGGGGGGGGGCTTTCGTACGTGGCTCACTTAAGCCTATTTCTAAGCTGACATGCAGGGAATTATAATAAAGTAAAAATGTAATGTAAATGTAATGTACACATTTGTGAGGTTATATTTTTGTTTTTGTATCGAGAGTATGCCAGCTTTGGTTAAGCAGGGGCCTGCATCCGCCCTCCCCCCGTATCCGCTGCTGGTTTACTTTTTAGTCAGTGTTTCCGTACATTTTTCTGTGGTCGGATACCTGGCAGAATTGATAATGAGCGATTGCGAGAAGAAAACAATTGAACTCCATGGTAGGCCTATAATCTATGTATACAGATCTTCCGGATAAGTGGCATAGGCATTTGAAGATTGAAAGGAGAAGATGATTGGAAAAGAAGAGGAAGAAAAGAAAACAGATTTTTCTGTTTTTTGGAGGACGTAATTTTTCACCTTCTTTTTGTCTTGTGGAATAGCTCTGCTCTATAATATCACAGTACTCTTAAACTATTAAAATATGAGGCAAATTGTTATTAACTAGATTAAACATGAAGCAATCTTTTAAATAGTGGTGTTGTACGAGTTGTCCATTCACTAAATGTTATAGCACGAACTTCCTATATGTGAATATCAGTGGCGGATCCAGGGGGGGGGGGGGGCGGGCCTGGGGAAAAGAAACATGTAAAAACACGTTGATTTTGCCTTTAGGGAGATGGGCCCTAACCCCTGGCGCTCAAGGGGGGGGGGGGGGGGGTTGCGATTTTTCGAATTTTCGAGGGCCCAAAAAAAAAACTGATCCTTACCTATGAGATAATGTTTGACCACATTGAACAAACTGAAATCGGTAACTAAGTCTGTTAACCATTTAAGAGGTTACCCTCGCATGCCATAGTTCGATGGTTTTTACCTAGTAATATATTATGATTAGTTGTAATAAATGCTTTCTTAAAATCGATGAAGATACTGTAAGAGGTTTGGAAATTACCCTGGCTTTAACCTGTAGAGGGCGGAGTGCGGAGACAAGCCGACACGCACTCTTTGCTTGTACCTCTCACAGGTGAGTTGACTAAACTTGAAGTTTGGACCACTTTTATGTTTATTAAATATTAATATAATGTTATGCTAAATGTTTGTTATGTAAATTGAGTATTGTGTCAGAACGATTTCAGTGATTATTTTTGCTGTATCATGTGGGTTGATATGATTGTAGTGGAAGCAGGGATTTAATGTTAAAATGTGCGATGCTTAACGTTATGATTTGTTATAGGGCCTACATTCATTTATATTGTAGTACATGGTCATGTACACTAATCAATTGAACGCTGTACCAAAATTGGGTGTAGTGCGTGCGCGCTAATGTTGTACCTGGCCCCAGGGCCAGGGCCAGGGCCAGGGCCAAAGTTACGCTCTAATTTATGTGATGAGTTAGTTCTTGGTTCAGGAACAAGGTCAGTGAGAAATATAGGGAACATAGGAAGAAATGCATGTTGTTTGCATTTTGGTTGCTAAGGGGATATGAATTATGGCACATCAAACAGTGACGATTGAACTTTGTTTGACCATTTAGCCATTAATGGGTTTCTAGCGCCCTCTATCATTGTAAACCTTATTTCTCATTTTGCAGATCGCTTTAAAAGAATATTGTTACATGTAAAATTGATATGGAATAATAGGAGTAAGAGCAGTGGTGAAGGTAGGCCAGGAGATTGTCAGACTTTGTTTGGAAGTAAGAAAAGTATGGAAGATAAATATTTAGATTGGAGTGGTTGATGAAAGTTGTATTTGATGCAGATATAAAGAGATTTATAGTTTCCAGGATTTATCAATATTTCTAGTCTTGGGATATTTTGATATTTAAAGCAGAGATATGTTGTCTTTGTTCCATTGTTATGATATTGTCAGTTTCATTATTCATTATATAATATGTGCTTACTTGTGTGTTGGTTTATCCACATTTGTGAATGTGTTGCTTTATATTAGTTTTATATTGACTGTTACTTATTTGTTTAAGTATTTTGGTCAGGTATTTACCTGTGTTAATGTTGAGAGTTTCAGCTTAATTGTACTGTACAGTGGCAATTGGTTTTTAAAGGGCAAATCTACTCGTTTTGTATTTGATAAAATGACGTTTTGGGGAATGCATGATCTCCATGATAATGTGATATGTAATGTGTCAGTTACTGGTTACTACTAATAAAGTGACTCTTTGCTTGTTCCTCT